TTGTTTTCGATTTATTTTAAAAAATATTTTATTATTTTTATTCTTTATTTTATGTATATGAGTATATTGCCTGCATGTATGTGCGTGCACCATGCCACGGAGGTCAGAAGAGAGGGCTTCAGATTCCCCTGGAACTGGAGTTAAAGACGGTTCATAGCCGCCATGTGGGTGCTGGGAATCGAACCTGGGTCCTCTGTAAGAGCCATCTCTCCAGCCCCTTCATTGTGTGTGTGTGTGTGTGTGTGCGTGTGTGTGTGTGTGTGTGTGTATTCACTCCTCACCTTATTTTGGTAGGCTGCCTGGCCAGCTTGCTCTAGGGATCCACCTGTCTCTGCCTCCTCAGGATGGGATTGTAGTCACAGACTACTGGGCCCTGCTTTTTTTAATGATTTATTTGTTGTTGCTGTTTTGTTTGTTTGTTTGAGACAGGGTCTCCCTGTAGCCCCAGCTGGCCTGGAACTCGCTGTGTAGACCAGGCTCGCCTACATCTCACGGAGATCCACCTGCTTCTGCCTCCCCAATGCTGGGATTAAATGTGTGCACCTCCCCTGGCTGGGGCCTATTTTTTATGTTGAAGCTTTAGCAACTCTCCAGCCTCCTCCCCCACTGTTTTGACAGGTCTCATATATTCAAGGGGCCTTCTTTTAACTTGCTATGTAGTCAAGGTTGACCTTGAACTCCTCCCAATCTCCTTGGCCCCACCTCTCAGGTGCTGCAAGTGTGTACCCTGCCTGCTCTTATTTCTTTCTTTGTTCATGTAGTACAAAGACTCAAGGAAAGTCAGCAGGGCACACATTTTCTTTTGTGTAACACACATGGGCCTGTACTTGCTATGTAGACCAGGCTAGCCTTTACTCATGATCTCATGATTTTTCTGCCTCAGCATCTTAAGCACTGGGATTACAGGCACATTACTAGTCTGCCAGCCTTTTCTTTCTTTTTTTTAAAATTTCCCTTCTCCTAAGCTTTTGCTTTGCCTTTTCCCTTAGAATTTCCCTTAGAATTTCCCTTAGAATTCTTCTTGGGTAAATCCTTAGAAAAGAAAAAGAAGGGCCAGCAAGATGGCTCAGAGGGTAAAAGTGCTTGCTGTACCAGCCTGACCAGTTGAGTCCAGAACAGACTCATATATGTGTCATGTGCATTTGTACTCAAGTCACACACAGATACACACATACACACACACACACACACACACACACACAAATAAACTTAAATAAAAAACATTGTACTCAGCAGAATACAGGAAGTAGAGGTAGGTGGATCTCGAGATCAAGACCAGCTTGGTCTACATAAAGAGTTCCAGGCCATCCAGGACTACATAGTGAGACCCTGTCTAAAAAAATAGCTTGTGGTGGTGCATGCCTTTAATGCCTGCCTTTGGGATGCAGAGGCAGGTGGATCTCTGTGAGTTTGAGGCCAGCCTGGTCTACGTAGTGAGTTCCAGTCCAGCTGGGGCTAAAGGGAGACCCTGTCTCAAAAAGACAAAAAACAAAAATTAAAAATCCCAAACAAAATAAATAAATAGTATTTGTTCTCATTTATTCTCTCTGAAGATCAGTGGCATAATCAGATGAATATGGAGTTGGTATGTTTTTAATTTTTTAATTGTTTTTTGTAAATTTTTTAAATTTTTGTGTATTTCCATTGGCACCCTCCCATAGTCTCCCACCCCACAGGAATTCATACATTCTGTCTTTTGTCATCTGTGTTAAGGCCTATATGGCAAGTTAGTGTCCCCAGACATCCCTCAGTACAAGTTCATCCACTGGGATCTTGTCATCCTATCTAGAGTCCCTCCCTTTAAGAAGATCAGTTCTTCCTCATCCAGCAGTAATCAGCTGCCAATAATTCTTCCACTAAGATTGGGCCCTGATGCCCATTTCCACAGTTCTATGCTGGAGTTTTGTCTGCTTAAGTTTGCATAGGTCTTTTGCATGCTGACACCACTGCTGTAGGTTCATATAAATAAGGTTCCAGGAACTTAAGGACTCTATTTCCATCTGGTCATGCACCTCCTCCCTGGCTCTTCCAATCTTTCTATCTCCTCTTCAGAAATGGTCCCTGAGCCCTGAGTGGGTGGAGTTTAATACAAGAGTTCTGTCCAAGGACCCACACTCTGTAGATTCTTACTCTCCATGCTTTGGCCATATTTTTATTTTTTATGTGTATTGCCTGAATGCATATAAGTGCATCCATGTGATACAATGACTGTGGAAGTCAGAAGAGGGCATCAGATCCCCTGGAACTGAAGTTATGAATGGTTGTTAGCCACTCATCACCCATCTTTCTTTCCTCCTAGGCATATGTTAGTTGGGCTACAGCTATGGAGAAACTCCATGGGCATGTGTCTGTCCACCCAGACATCCTCTCCCTAGAGAACCACAGCCTGGCCATGCTTCCTGAGCTCCAGTCCATGAAGAAACTTGGTGGACATATGTCTTGTCATCCAGGTATCCTTTCCGTGGAGAACCGGTGCCTGGCCATGCTCCCTGATCTGCAGACCACAAAGAAACTCCATGGACATATGTCAGGTCACCCAGACATCCTCTCCTTGGAGAACCTGTGCCTGGCCATGCTTCCTGATCTCCAGCCCACGAAGAAACTTGGTGGACTTATGTCTGGTCACCCAGATATCCTCTCCTTGGAGAACCGGTGCCTGGCCATGCTTCCTGATCTCCAGCCCACGAAGAAACTTGGTGGACTTATGTCTGGTCACCCAGATATCCTCTCCTTGGAAAACCGGTGCCTAGCTACCCTCTCTGCAGGAGAGAGCACTGTGTCTGCCAGCCCCTTGCACCAGTGTCTTCAAATACCTCACACCATGCAAGCTGATTTATGTAACCTGAACACCAGCAATTGCCTGCTCTCTGAGCCTCCAAGGGTTCAGCGTCTCTCTGAAGGATTAGACTTTCCAACTTGTCCCAGGACCCTGAAATCCATCTCTGCTCCAAAGAGAGTTCAGGAAACAACTTTGGTAATAGTTTTCAAATGCTCATCTAGACTAGCCATATCTGTTATATGCTATTGTCACTAGATTTCAATGCCTTAATTTCCCTCTGTGTCCTCAGAGCCTTTTTTTATGTCAACATTTTTGGTGTTTGTTTTGTTTGTTTGTTTTGAGACAGGGTCTCCCTATTGCCCCAGCTGGCCTGGAACTTGCTATGTAGTCCAGGCTGGCCTTGATCTCAGAGCTCCACCTGCCTCTGCTTCCCTGGTGCTGGGATGCGCCACCATGCTTGGCTGGTGTTTTCTTTTATTCATTTTTATTTTATGTGTGTGAGTGTTTTGCTGGCATGTATGTAAGTGTACCTGGAGGCCAGAAGAGGGTGTCAGATATCCTGGAACTGGAATTATGGTTGGTTGGTAGCTGCCATGTGGGTGTTGGGAACAGAACCCAGGTTCTCTAGAAGAGCAACAAGTGCTCTTAACCACTGACCCATCTCTCCAGCCTCCCTCCCCCCTTTTCTAACAGTATTAAGGATTGACCCCCAGAGCTATGCACATGTTAGGCAGGCACTCTACTACTGAGCTACATCTCCAATCCTTCAGAGCCTTTTTAAGGTGCCCTTTACCTTAGGGCTATCTTCACTGGGATCTTTATTATTACTGAATATCTAGTTCAGAGATTCTGGGCACAAGATCAAAAGCTAGTTCTTGTCTGTAGAAAACCTCTGCTTAGGAAGAAAGCCAGCATCATTATTACAACAGAGGCAATGTGGTGCTTTTGAAATCAGACGTGGTGTATCTATACTTTATGAGAGCTCGCTTCCCTGTGTGCATATGTGCAAACACACATCCACTTAACAGACACACATAAGCACATTTAGTACATAGATAAAAATTGATAAACAGGCATATATTGCCACTGTGTAGGCTAGGGGTGTGGGATAGGGAAAGATAACCTGAGCCTTATAATATCTCTGCTAATTATAACGTACACAGCCTGAGGCAAAGCTAATAACCCTTTGGAGCTTTAATTTACTCATCTTTCAAATCAAGCCTATGAAAATATATATCACAGGGGCAGGAAAGATGGCTCAGAGGTTAAGAGCACTGGCTGCTCTTACAGAGGACCCAGATTCAATTCCCAGCACCCATATGGCAGCTAGCAACTGTCTGTAATTCCAGTTCCAGATAAGCTGATGCCCTCTTCTGTCATCTACAGGAACTGCATGACCTGGGTACACTTATATGCTGGTTAACATTGATACAGATAATAAATAAAATTAAAAAAAAATGTGCATCATAGAGTTCAGGTCAAAAGCGCAACCTGCCACCCTACTCTGATTTAGGGCTTTGCACTTTGTAGAGTCAGACATACATTATTCCATTTAATTTTCTATCAGATCTGTTCAGTAGGTGGTAGTGAATGAAAGAAGCACAGGTTCAGGGAGGTTAAGGAGCTCAGGCTTCTGGAAGGACTGATATGGGGCTTGGTGCTTTTTCTTCTGGAGCACTAAACATCCTAATGCATTTAGCAAACATATGGGAGGCCTTGGGCTCCTAGGCTGGTAAGAAGATGGAAGCTGGAAAGTTTTCAAAGCATCAGGGCAGAAGCTCAGAAGGCCGAATAGAGATGTGGTATGAGAAAAAGCCCCAGGCTAGAGACAGGACAGACCAAGGATGATTAGTCAAGGGATGAAGAGAGATGGTTTCTTTACAGATGTGGACGCTTCCTATCTCTGGGCAATAACCTTTAGCTCCATCTGTTAGAGGGGCTGTGGGTACATGCTGTGATTTGTTTTGTTTTGGCTTTGTGGCTTTTTGAGTCTTATATCTCTGCTAATTATAAAGTATACCTGTAGCCCCAGCTAGCCTGGAACTCACTATGTAGACCAGGCTGACCTTGAACTCACAGAGCTCTGCCTGCCTCTGCCTCCTGAGTATTGGGACTAAAGGTATGCACCACCATGCCTAATTAATGCAAAATTCTTAAATGTATGTCTATATTGTCAATATGCTATGAAACCAAAAGGTTTTTATAAAAACAATAATATCCTGACCTTGATTACTTATTTGCCTTTTCATAGGGTATGAATTGTTTTCCATTAAGAGGAATGAATGTTTTGACTGATTTTTTTTTTTTTTTCAGTTCAGTAGGGGATAACTGGGATAATAAATGTCTTTAAGTGTTGTTTTCAATTTATAAGACAGGGTCTTGATGTGCGACCCTGGCTGGCCTGTTACTTGCTTTGTAGACCAGACTGGCCTCCCAATTATTCCCTTCAAGGACACACTCCCAGTGGCCTAACTTCCTTCTACTAGCTCTCACTTTCCTTAAAAAAAATTATTTTATTAGCCAGGCGTGGTGGCGCACGCCTGTAGTCCCAGCACTTGGGAGGCAGAGGCAGGTGGATCTCTGTGAGTTCAAGGCCAGCCTGGTCTACATAGTGAGTTCCAGGACAGCTGGGGCTTACAGGGAGACCCTGCTTCAAAAAGACCACATTTTTTTTTAATTTATTAATGTGTATGAATGTATTGCCTGCATGTATGTAAGTGCACCCAAGTCGTTCAATGCCCATGGAGGTCAGAAGAGGGCCTTGATCCCCTGGAACTGGAGTTACCCACGGTTGTTAACCACCATGTGAGTGCTGGGAATCGAACCCCAGTCCTCTGCAAGAGCAGCCACTAGCTCTCACTTTCTATAAGTTCCACCACTTTCCAACAGCTGGCACAGGCTGGCAACCGTTCTTTCAGCATATAAGCCTTTGGGGCACATTTAAGATCCAAATTATATTAGTATTATGACTGTACTGGGCTGGCATGTAGCTCAGTTTGTAAACTGCCTGCCTAGTCCAGAGTTTGAACTCCAAAACTACATAAAACCGGGTGTGGTCGTTCAAGCCAGCAGCTTTTGAGAGGGAGCCATCTGCCCGAGGCCTGAAGCCCCGCCCACCCGGAGGCCCCGCCCCATCCCGTCCCGAGGCCCCGCCCCGCGGCCCGGAGTCCCCGCCCCCATCCCCGCCTCTGCCCCGCTCCCCGCCCTCCCTGAGCTCGCCCGCCCCGGGTCGAGACGCCTTGGAAGGGCCAGGCTCTGCTTCCTGTGGTGGACAGTCGTCGCGCCTCTCGCCAGCTTTTCCAGTCCCAGACTCGGGCAGGTTCCGAGTGTAGGTAGAGCTGACCTGGCCGGGATCTGGCTCGCTGGGCTCTGGGAAGGCCTTCGGGACAAGCTGGACCTGCCGCCGCCTGGTCCCTAGGGCCGCTGGGGTGGGGCAGGGAGGGAGCCGGGAAGGGTGAGGGAAAGGGAAGGACCGGAGACCGCGGAAGGGAGGCCCGGAGAGCGAGCGCCTCCTTGTCCTAAGTGCTCTTTGGAAGGGGAGGACAACCTGACGACCGAGGGGTGTTGTGAGCACCTTGTCACTACGGAAACCCGGGTTATGGATAACTTGCCAGACTGTCCGCAGCCTCCACAGGGCGAGGCGGGCACTAGGCGTGGCCGGGCCTTCGAGATTTTCTAAGCCTGGAGCGGTGTCTAAAATATGGCCCTGACTGTGAAGCCAAAGAAAAAAGGTGGTGGCGGTAGATGCGGAGGCGTGTGCTTATATTTATATATGCACAGAAAGTGGACATCGGTGTAAAAACTCGTAGTACGGAATGGGAGCTAGACAGGGGGAGAACTTTGAAGTTTTCCGGTGTAGTTCGGACACACGTCCTTATTTTTTCTATTAATTTTTATTTTGAGAACTTGCTTTTAAATCTTGAATTCTGAGATTCCTCATTACTTTTTTTTTTAATTTTTAAACTTTTTTTTTCTTTATTTTATGTGTATGAGTATATTGCCTGCATGTATGTGCGTGCACCATGCCACGGAGGTCAGAAGAGAGGGCTTCAGATTCCCCTGGAACTGGAGTTAAAGACGGTTCATAGCCGCCATGTGGGTGCTGGGAATCGAACCTGGGTCCTCTGTAAGAGCCATCTCTCCAGCCCCTTCATTGTGTGTGTGTGTGTGTGTGTGCGTGTGTGTGTGTGTGTGTGTGTATTCACTCCTCACCTTATTTTGGTAGGCTGCCTGGCCAGCTTGCTCTAGGGATCCACCTGTCTCTGCCTCCTCAGGATGGGATTGTAGTCACAGACTACTGGGCCCTGCTTTTTTTAATGATTTATTTGTTGTTGCTGTTTTGTTTGTTTGTTTGAGACAGGGTCTCCCTGTAGCCCCAGCTGGCCTGGAACTCGCTGTGTAGACCAGGCTCGCCTACATCTCACGGAGATCCACCTGCTTCTGCCTCCCCAATGCTGGGATTAAATGTGTGCACCTCCCCTGGCTGGGGCCTATTTTTTATGTTGAAGCTTTAGCAACTCTCCAGCCTCCTCCCCCACTGTTTTGACAGGTCTCATATATTCAAGGGGCCTTCTTTTAACTTGCTATGTAGTCAAGGTTGACCTTGAACTCCTCCCAATCTCCTTGGCCCCACCTCTCAGGTGCTGCAAGTGTGTACCCTGCCTGCTCTTATTTCTTTCTTTGTTCATGTAGTACAAAGACTCAAGGAAAGTCAGCAGGGCACACATTTTCTTTTGTGTAACACACATGGGCCTGTACTTGCTATGTAGACCAGGCTAGCCTTTACTCATGATCTCATGATTTTTCTGCCTCAGCATCTTAAGCACTGGGATTACAGGCACATTACTAGTCTGCCAGCCTTTTCTTTCTTTTTTTTAAAATTTCCCTTCTCCTAAGCTTTTGCTTTGCCTTTTCCCTTAGAATTTCCCTTAGAATTTCCCTTAGAATTTCCCTTAGAATTTCCCTTAGAATTTCCCTTAGAATTTCCCTTAGAATTTCCCTTAGAATTTCCCTTAGAATTTCCCTTAGAATTTCCCTTAGAATTTCCCTTAGAATTTCCCTTAGAATTTCCCTTAGAATTTCCCTTAGAATTTCCCTTAGAATTTCCCTTAGAATTTCCCTTAGAATTTCCCTTAGAATTTCCCTTAGAATTTCCCTTAGAATTTCCCTTAGAATTTCCCTTAGAATTTCCCTTAGAATTTCCCTTAGAATTCTTCTTGGGTAAATCCTTAGAAAAGAAAAAGAAGGGCCAGCAAGATGGCTCAGAGGGTAAAAGTGCTTGCTGTACCAGCCTGACCAGTTGAGTCCAGAACAGACTCATATATGTGTGATGTGAATTTGTACTCAAGTCACACACAGATACACC